TTTCCTTTTTCCCCCAAAAATTGAGCCAAAGCCCAGAGCTGTGCGGCTGTGGTTGCAATACGCGCAGTTACAGGAAAGCAAGGGCTGGGCTGGCTTCCACCGCTGGGTCATTGAACACGGGCCACGGGCCACTCCACTCATAAACAGGTCACCAGAGAGTGCCTGGGGCGAGTTCAGTACGGCCTGGGCTCCAGGAACCTGCAGGCAGTTACCGTTCCCTCCTTGACTTGGTGCTGGTGTATCTGCAACTTTCAGTCCTGTCCAGAATCCCCCATAAGGCAGGATGTGGAAGACCTGGATTGGGGTCCTGCAGATGGCAACCAGGATGGTCAGGAGTCCAGAGAACAGGGCTTTTGAGAAGTGGCCAAAGTGGAAGCAAAATCCAGCAACTGCCTGTAGGGTGGCTGCAGAGATGGCAGACCCATATTTGCCTTGCTGGCATCAGATGATGTATCAAGGGGCAGTGGCCACAAACAGTAGCTTGGACGGGTTTAAATGGACATTAGGGAAATGTTCTCATCAGGACAGTCATGCAGCCTGCAATAGGTGAGCCAGCCAGGCTGTGTGGTCTCCATCCTTGGAGACTGTCAACGCTTACCTAAACAAAGCCATGGCTCATCTCATCTGACATTGTAACAATCTTATTTCAGTTTGCCTGTGGGACTGCAGCCATGCCTTCATAGCAACATTTCCATGTTTCTGGGTTAACTTGTGTACCTGAAGGAGAATTAGGTCTTTGTCTCAGTGAATACACATGAAGAAACTTGTACAGTCAAACTGGCAATTAGATATACAAAAGTATAAAAACACCTCAAGAGTTTATAAACCTGCAGTCCCTGAGCTGTTACAGGAGCACCACAATCTCCAGCGTGGGAGAGGCCACAGCCTTTCCTGTGTTTGCCTATGCAGGCTGTTGATCCAGGCCTTCACCCATGGGTTGACTTCCCAGCTTGACCTTCCTCATCACCATGGATCTCACTGGCCATGACTCGGCTATGTCTGATGCTGACTGCCACCGGGCCTGATCCTGACCTCGACCCATATGTTGACTTCCCATGTTAACCTCAGGTTTGCCTTGTCTCCACAAATGTGGATGGTGATCTGGACTCTCTGCTGGATCTGGTTGCGTTCCCTGGGTTTGTCCTGCTTGCCCCATGCCAGGGCGGTGGAACAGGCATTGCCCATGCCCTGGTGGTGGTGGTGTCTCTCCTGGTGCTTGTCCCTTAGGGCCTACTGCTCCTCTATGAGCTCCTTGACCCAGGTCAGTATGTGTGTGCTGGTGGCCACACAGAGCAGGAAGGTGCTGTCAGGGTGGCAGGGCTGGAGTGCAGAGCCCTGAAGCTGAGGCAGCTGTGGAGCTGCAACATCAGTCACCATGGGAGGTTGACTGGTGCTGGGGCACGGCTGAGCTGGGAGAGTTCCCAGGGTGGAGTTTGGAACAGTGGCTGGCAGTGTGGGGGCAGGACAAACTGCTAGTAGGGACACCACTGGGCAAGGACCAGCTATTACTCTTCTTTTGAGGGATACCTCCAAGGTCAGGCAAAACAATACAAGAAAATATAGTAATTTTTCAGGATAAGCAAGCTGAAATAAGGAACTACTGCAAATCCTGCAGCCTGATTTCAGTAACAATGTAAAACAGGCCTCTTTTGTCTTTGTGGTGTAACTTCTGTCACCAAACATTCAGTCCCTTCCCCTCACCTCAGGAAGGACAGTGCTCCAATAATGGCCCTAGTAACGTGCTTTAGTAATGAAACGTTTTCATGCTTTGTTTCCAGGTACAGGATAGACTTCTGAATTAATTTTCTAAGGGATGGGAGATATCTTGGACTTGAAAATGAAAATGCCAAAGTAATGGTGGTGTTAGTAGGAATAAGAAAGAAGAATGTAAGAGACAGTGTGTCTTTCATGAGAGTAATTTATAAGACAGGAAAATAAAAGCAGAGAAGCTTTTCACACCAGATCTTCTTTGTGTGGGAAACAAAACTATGAATCACTGTCCATTTTTCCTGACTGTATTAGATGATGTTGCAAAAAGAAAATTCAGCTGTGATTATGACTTTTTAATTTGCCCAGTCAGAAGATATCGTATGAGCCTACACAGCCCCTGTGGTTTCTGTGCCATGGCTAGGCTGCTCTTTGCCACATCATGGGTGCTAGGCTGCAAGACCTGAGGGAAGAACGCAGTTTCTCAACTGCAGCTGGGAGGAACAGGTGGAAACTGGGAGAGAGGCAGAGAAACAGCAGGACGAGCACATTAAAGACCCTGCCTGGGGTGTGACAGGACTTCTTGCAGAGGGGAAGGGGCTGCTGGACTTGCAGAAAGCAGCTTCTCCTGTGCACTTGGGTGGGATGGTGCAGAGGATTTGGCAATGCTGGAAGTGAGCAAAGTACAGTAACACAAGAGTAAGAGAGGGCAAAAGGCCTTTTTGTCACTTGTCAGGATAGGGTGGGAAGGTGGGGAATTGTTTACCACCCATAGCATCTGAACCTGTCTCATTATTTGCTGCTCTAATTCAAAAGCAGTCAGGCTGTAGTGTGCTTTTGAACTATAAAGTATTTTTAGTGTTTGATGAACTTACTGTAAAGAGAAGGTTGAGGCCGTTCACTTTAAAGTGTAAAGTTTACACTTTAAAGCGTAAAGCTGTTTGTAAAATGTCTGTCATGAGAATTTTCTATTACCACCCTTCCCTGGGAAAAGGGGAGACTTTCTGTATGAGAGTCTCCAGCAACACTGCTTTGTCCTGTTAGAGGAAGGCTGAGAATATTTAGTACCCTTGCGCATAATTTGAGCTAGTTGAAAATCAGTTCCTCAATATTACAGAAAACATTTTCCCTCTCTGGGCTCTGCTCCTTCGCCCATAGCAGCTCAAGCTTATCTTCAGTTTGACAGCTCTGCCTGTGAAGGACAGAGGCTTCCAAACAAGAGTGTTGCAGGGATAGACCCAGCAGCCAGGCTGTTTCCCTGTACCAGAGACGTTAGTGAAACATTGCCACAGTCACCCATCCTAGTGACCCACTCCATAATAAAGCTCATTCTGGTGGGCACCAATGACACAGCCATGAATGACCATTGATTGGTTTTGATCAGATCAAAACCAGTTAGGAGGCTCCTGGTAGACAAGTGAAGGGCTTGAGGGCTTTGGTGTTTTCCTGGCCCCAGAATCCTGACTGCAGTTCAAATGGGGACATCTGGAGGTAAATGCATGTTTACACAACTGATACTACCTAAAGGGCTTTAGTTTCTGTTGCCTTAACTGGTGGGTCAGGTGCCATGAGCAGGGAAGGGTGGACCCCACCTTACGGAAGAGGGTAGAAGACCCATGTTCACTTACTTACTAACTTCAGAGGATATGTCTGAAGTGTTCAATAGATTGACCTTCTTGTCATTATGATAATATACTAACAACCTTCTTCCTACATCATTAGTTTTATAGAGCTCACCCAGACTGATCTTGTTTATGCTTTGTCAGCTGCTTTCTTTAATCCTACTTTAAAGTCCTTCTCAATTCCCAGAGAAGTTCTAGAACTACTTGTATAACAAGGCACTTGTATGCACCTAGAGTACAACATGGGGATGGACAACAGCCACCGTGAACTCATCAGGAACAAATGCTGACAAACCAGTCTGATGTCCTGGTATGGCACAATTTTTAAGCACAAGTGAAAAGTAGGGGGTGTCATATATATTTGCTTTAGAAAGGTTTTTAACACTTGCTGTCCTGACCCTCTCTGAAAAAGGTAAGACCCCATGGTAAGTGCCAAGCTGGTGAGACAATTGTTCCTCAAGTCCTAAGTTATCAGTGGTTGTCAAAAGGGAAGCATGGAGAGATTGAAGGGATTTTTGCAGGGGTTCATTCTGATGTCAGATTATTTTGATTACTTCAGTTAACAGCCTGGATGATTAACACACATGAGTGCCTTATTAAACCTGCAAATTACTCTGTGAAGGACAGCAAAGAGAGTAGAATTCAGCATTGTACTGACAAATGGGAGAAATAGTCTGAAACCTACAAGAGAAAATTCAACAGGTACAACTTGGAGCATTACTTTTAAGAACAGTGACAGATACAAATACAATTGAGGGAACAAATAGCTGGGTGCAGTTTCGTTGTTTGTTGTTTTTTTTTACAAAAAGAGCCAAACATGTGATGGAGACACTTAGAACAAGCAATGGAAAAGGCAAATACCACCCTGGAACATGTGAGGCAGGAATATAGCCTCCAAGACAAGCCAGAGTAATATGTCTAGGTAGGGACACTGTACTTAAAAAAAAAGGCAGATCAACAGAAAAAAAGTAAAAGAAGTTCACCCAGGATGCTGGAAGGCACAGAAAACATGAATAAAGGCTGGAAGAATCAAATTGATGTACTCTGTGGAAGAGAACACAGAGTGAGGAAGGGAACATCACAGTCATTGAGTGCCTAAGAGATGACTTTAAAGGCAGCCATGGGCACAGCAAACAGGACAGGATGGAAAGGATTTCAGCTGAGACAAAACCGCTCAAGTTAGGCTTTCAGATAATGTTAGGATAGAAGCATGCCAGAACAGATTGCTGAGGATAAAAAGTATGATTTTGCCTAATTGTAAGCAAAGCACATGCAGGTGGCACAAAACAGAGGTAGAGCCAGCTGGCAGGTTCTGCTGGCACTTTGCCAGTAGGCACTCATTTTCTGTATCACAGCCTTTGAGATGCCAGCTTTGGGACTGCACTCCTGGTTAAGGCAGAAGAGAAAGCTTAAACAAGAGAGGGAAGGTAAAGAAAAGTTGTATGACTAGTGGGGGGCAAGTTTTTGGTGTCAGGACCTGGAATGCACCTTCTTCCCCAGAGGTTTAACTTGCAGCCAGTTGCTGGTAAGAGCAAGGAATTTAATAAGTATCAGGTGGTTTGGGGAGCACTTTGAAAAAGAGATAGAAGAAACCAGGGGAAATAGTGGGGAAATCACTTT